GCGGCGAATATGGTACTATAGGTATAGTAGTAGCCACAACCGGCCGATTTGGCATTTTCTTGAGTATCGCATCAATTCCACATTCTCCTTTTTCTCTCAGTTTGTAAAGACTATCTACTATGGCTATATGATCGTACTGTCAAAGAAAGAGCCCAGTTCAGGACGTTCTGTGGGGCTGCGTCTCTGGCTAGGAAGTTGCATGCCGACGTCCGTTCTTCTCATTGTACCTCGTGTGTCTAGGAGAGCATGATCTGGGCCAGCCTCAGCTTGGAAACGCTCCAGCATTATACTGTCGTGAGGAAGCTGTGTTCTTCCCGTTGAAGGACGTGAAGGACCCACGAGACGTGTCCGATGTTGCGGTGTTGCGGCAGGCTGATTATCTATACAGTGTCAGTAGTTGCATTGTAAGCTTGTAGTCCGAATGTATACGTTTGCTCCGAGTGTCTATCGGACGACTAGGCGGTGGCATTGCAGCGACATCAGTCCTCTCTTTGCGACCTTTTGAACTTCCAGTCCCGCTCCGTTGATGACGATGCAGTTGTTCCACGCCTTCCTGGTTGACGGGATATACGTTGGATTGCCTAGACGACGGGGTTTGTGGGGGTCTCGATGTCTCTGCGTGTCTGGATACAAGCTCAGATAGATTGTTTCGAGAGGCTGTTAGCGAATCCAGCGCTTGGGATACAGTATCTGTTGCAGCGGTCTGCATTTGGGATCGCATCGCTCGGGATTTGAGTATGTTGTATAAGTTTGTCATTTGTGTGAATTTATTGCACTTCTCTCGATACATGTCGACTAGCTCCTGGTTCTTCTTACGAAGTTGGTCCTGTGCTGTCTGCATTTCTGCTTGGTTGTCAGATGGTTTCATTGAGTACTCCCGCGTTGAAGACAGGCTGACCTGATATTCTCGCTTGTAGGGCCGATATTTCCGAGTTTGCGTTGTGTATGACCTTGTCCATTTGTGTATTCAGATTGGTGTACTTCTCTGTCAGTGTCTTTGCAAGGTACTCCTGGTAGAAGCTGTAGCTTCTTAGTGGACATCCAGGTCATTCACGATATCAATTAACGCACATTTCCTGTGTAGTCTGGTATGTCCAAAAGAGCAACGCCCGTCCCGCGCATTCCATAATTGTATTCGGATCAAGTCCGCTTAGAACACTGGTCTTGTAGTCTTCCGTTGGTTTGAGGGCCGTTGCTACCGCGTCATCGGGGTTCACGAGGACAGTCTGACAAGCTGGACATGTTCGCTCATTGGCAGTGGGGTGCGATAGACCAAGGCTTCCTGCACAGTGGAGACAGAAGATGTGTCTCGGTTCCTCAGCATTTTTTCTTGAGTTTGACAGTCGTAGAAGGGAAATTCGAGATGCAGCGAATGAAGGTACTTACGAACAGGTGGTGACGACTGCCCTCTCCTTCAGTTGTTCTCGACACTTCAGAGAGTTGCAGCGAAGGTAGAAATCCATGCTCGATATCAATTACATTCGGTGAAGAATACCAGCAGAGTTGGTCAGATAGATGTTCAGGGGTGGATGGATGTTGAGCTAAGATGCATTACACATAGAACCAAGGCTCAATATGGAAATTGCCGCGGTATCACCCCAGTCGCTTCGACACAGATTACTAGATCAGGCAGACAGTACGACTAAGCTACTGTGATATACGAGCAAGTTATGGTTTTATTGGGTATCTCAGGGAATATACAACATCTATGGTCTCAACGCTCTTATTTATATCAGCCACGCCATAACCTTCAAGCCAAATGTGCATTAGAAAAAGAACGTATTTCCAGAAGCATCACGCCTTGTCGTCCGCATCTTCTCCTCAAACTCAGGCCCTGGTTCATATTCTCGCCAGAGACTGGCCGGAAAGATGTGTTTGTTCCGCTCATACCACCGTCTATCAACCACCTTGGTTAAAGATGGATCTTTATCAGCGCCCTCTAGTTGGCTGCTTTCCGGGCGCGATAAAGGATCGTCTGTCGAAGGTGCCGGGGGTGGTTTGTTGGAATAATCGAACAACAGACCACCCGCTTTGGTGAAGTCGGGTACGCTGTTGGCGATGAAATAATAGAGTTCGTAATGCTGTGCCAGTCAGCGTATGCAACCGTATGAATAAGTTGGAATACATACATGGGGAACGATGATTTCTCCTTTGACCAACATGAGGTCATCAACACTAACTCGAGCCCATTCGCGGCGATTATCTTTGCGAGCCTTGGATGCTCCGCTGTTACCACCAACACCCAATTCTGCTCCAACCTTTCGGCATCGGTCCAAGAACAACCAAACAGGGTCACCTTTCTTGACCCTGACAGTTCCCGCTGGGATGTTGGTCCCATCGAAGAATATAAAGGGGATCAATATCTCGGTATTCTTCACAGCTTCCTGCATGGCAAGGAATTCCTTGCGGAGCGCATCCCGTGCCTCTGCCTCTGCCTTCAAGGCGGCTTTCGTCATTGCTTTGGGAGGAGGCGGGGCATTTGGGTTTGGTGTTATACGGCGTGATGACGGCGCAGAGCTATCGTCAACAGGAGTTCTGGAAGCAGAACGCGGGACACTCGAGTCCCGCGGCGTTGCGACTGCATCGGCGGTGCTATCGTTCTCTTCCTCCTCATCGTCATCGCCGAATGAAAGCTTGCTCTTGGCGATAGGCTTCTTTTTCTTCTTCTTCGGCGGGCCCTCGCTTCGTGGCGTCGAGTTACTATACGCTTTGCGATCAGTTACAAGCCGGGATTTTTCTGAAGATGCGATTTGACTCACCCGTCAGTCACTTCACCGGTAGATGGAGTCGCACTTCTGGAAGTGAATCTCCCTAGGGATTTGTCATGAGCTTCGCGTTCTTTTTGCTCTAAGACCTCGGCGCGACGTTTGCGAAAGTCGGAAAGGTGTACGAGACCAACTGTCTGCGACTTGAGCAGATCTTCTGCAGACGCAGTCTGGCTGGTAAACGAGCGTGGAGTCGAGCTATGGCTCGGCTGTTCGGATTGTGACATTTTAATAACGAATATGTTGGGAGAGTATCGAGGAATAGACGATAAGATTGGCGATAAATCTCACATGAATGCGACTGACGTACTGGCACGTGATGTCCAAGATTGCCGGATTGGGAACAACCACAACTTGTCTGCGCCTTCAGAAAAGAAGTATTGTCGTCAATTGTTGTTTTTTGTGCTACGTTCTTGCTCTACTTCTTTTAGCAGAAGGAACTCTGCAAGTCAATAAGCTGATCATTATTTTAAATTCGCGACTTCAGTATCCCAGCCAACCAGCAGCACAAGAGCAAACAAATCAAAGCCGACGACCTGCGAATCTCCACAGGATCGCCGCCGACAGAAACGCATCCCGTCACATCTCCTACCTCTCTACATTTACGCGGTCGCTGATACCAAACATGATGATGGAAGACGAAGACGATGATTTCTACGATCCCGCCGATGCGGTGCCTGTAACTCAGCATCAAAATGGATCCCAACATCCCCCCGCAGATTCAGGACCCCAGGACTCCAATGATGCGGAAGAGGAGGAGATAGAGGTAGAAGAAGATGAGGTATGCGCATGGCGACAACTAAATTATCCTATTACTGTCTCTTACTTTCGCGTAGGATGACTTCAATATTATCACCGAAGCACCTGCAGATGCACCCCCTCCAGAAGTGTAAGTCCACTACCTCTGTTCAAGCACTGTAACTTGTTAACCATTGAATAGCCCACATCCTCGTCACGCCAGCCTCCGCGCGGAGTCTCAAAGACCTTCCTCTTCTGCAGATGTTTCTACGATATCAAAATCAATAACGCCCACCGTTACCCCTAAACTTGAGTCCGTTACCCCTGTGCCTGCTGCTGCAAGGCCTGCGGTCCCTCAGAAACCCGGTTCCGCCTACCCTCCAGTCCATGCGTCGAACATCGATGTCCACGCGAACCCTGTCCATCCGGCGACCGGTAAACCGATCATGTTAACAGACATGGACACCGACTTCCCAGAGGACGACAAGCCTTGGAGGCGGCCAGGCTCCGACATTACAGATTATTTCAATTACGGGTTTGACGAGTTCACGTGGGCCAGCTATGTGTTGAAGCAACAGGAGCTACGCAAGGAAATTGGAGATCAGAAGAAACAATTGGATGATATGCAGGCTTTCTTAAACATGGGGCTCCCACCGATGCCCGGTGGTCCTCCGGGACCTGGAGGGCCTCCAGGAAGCGCACCACCTCCTATGCCCGGCATGCCTGGAATGCCGGATATGTCACAAGAGATGATGCAAGGCATGCTGACGAGCATGATGTCGCAAGGTCTGGACCCCTCATCCATGGATCCTATGGCATTTATGCAGCATGCGCAGGCCATGATGGGTGGGCAACCCGGCGCAGGCGGCGGACAACAAGGTCAACCCGGATTTGGTGGGCAAGGTGGTGGCCAGGCTCAGATGGGATACGGAGGCGGCTTTGGTCGGGGTCGCGGGAGAAGATGGTAAAGCTAGGTATATCTGAAGCTGCGACCTTGTTATAATGACGCATACCTTGTCGAAAGCTCAGAATTGGCGATACGAGCAGAGTACCAGAAAAGTAGTAAACCTATTCATAAATGAATTACTCCCGAAGGCTAAGCTTCTTGTGCGGATCTGGGGTCGGGTTGCTCGGGGAAAGGGAGCTACTAATCGAGTGCAGTGTATTGTTGCTCATCATCAGACGCCAGGACCGAGTACACTCAATCATGTAAAAGAATCAATATTTATCTGTAATAGTCAAGCGAGTTAAGCACATTGGAAAGGAGCACGCTGTGATCAGAATGAAAGCGAAGAAGAGCGTAGAAGTGGTGATACCCTCGGCAGAGAGGATGGAAGCTGTCGGTCTTGGCATTCTGGAAATTTCTCGCGAGTCCAGATCAGATCTTCTTTCCCCGGCCGCTTCCTCTTCTTCTTTTGCTCTCCACGTCCCCAACTTGCTTCCATTACCTCTCGCTCCCGCTTGAATCTACGCTGTTCCTCGTGCCCGGCACTTCTATACACACTCTTATCACAATGGTATGTTATTGCAATTGATACCGGATGCTGTAGAGCTCCGAATGAACTTTTTTCACCCATCAACGTCCATCCCCTTCCGACGGGGATTGCCATCCCTAATCGCCAATCAACCTATCTCTGGCCATTACTAATGTGTTGATTGCTTGATTAGTCTTTCCTCCGCAACGTCAAGAGCCTTGCTCCCCTCCTCGACCGCGTCCTGGTCCAGCGTGTCAAGCCCGAGGCCAAGACCGCCTCCGGTATCTTCCTCCCCGAGAGCAGCGTCAAGGAGCAGAACGAGGCCAAGGTCCTCGCTGTTGGCCCCGGTGTCTTCGACAAGAACGGCCAGCGCCTCCCCATGAGCGTTGCTCCCGGTGACCGTGTCCTGATCCCTCAGGTATGTCGACCGTCCGATCCGTGGCCATCCGATGCGAGAAGCGAAGCATTGGTCCATCGCGCAGATTGATGTGCTATTGATCAACGCATATACTGACGAGTTTTTGATATAGTTCGGTGGCAGCGCCGTCAAGGTCGGTGAGGACGAGTACACTCTTTTCCGCGACCATGAGTATGCACATCCTTGCCACTATGCTCTGAATAAACATTGTATACTGACGAATGCTACCAGGATCCTTGCCAAGATCCAAGAGTAAATTGGACGAGTGAAATGATATTCAGCTCCGTTGTCTTTCTGTTCACGGGTTAAGGCCGAATCACTTGTACTATACCTCCTACGCAAAATCATGAGCTTCAACCATCCAACTCCGGGAATACTCATAATCAAAAAAAAAAGAACCACCGAAGAGGTATCAGGAGGGACTTGTCGTCCCTCCTAATCATCTTGGGCTAACGTCTTGTCTGGCATTTATTATCGAAAGCGTGAAATGACTGTTTACATACCACACGATGTACTTTTAAATATAGCAATCATCCTGTCCTACATTGTCTGGCGCGATGAGGGCAAGTAATCAGATATGATAATCTCCTCTCTGCTATTTTTTTCATATTGAGTATGACAAACTTCTGGGGTAGAATCATCTGCACCTTACCGTTCCGTCCAACAAGACCGATAATGTGACAAGAATAGACCTTCCAGTATTGTCAAGTCAGAGGGCAGCGGTACAACTACCTTTATTACTTCGTAAACTAAATGTTTATTCTATCTTTATCTCAAAACAGGCGGTATTCTAAACTCGTAGCCAGCTGAATAGGCGTATCAGACTGCATCGACCCGTCGTCTTGACCCCCATGCAAAAGAGACGCGTAGGTAACCCCGGGAATATTACCTTCATTCTGCATCTGAAACATATCAAATCGGCAATTGTCAGCAAGGGTAATGACATATGGGTGAATCAGATGTAGTAGAACCAGGCAGTATAACCATCATCACCATCACCAACACCTTTATCAGCGACATCACTACAATGTAGTTAGACAAATTGTGTCCGACTCAGAACCCTGCATCGTTCTAGCAGAACAATGATGGGGTGGTGAAGATCAATCAGCAAAGATGCTGAATAGTTAACTGACTACGGAGGTAGTAGTAGGTATGGTACTAGGTACCACAGTAACTGGTGACTAGAAATGCTCGCTCAAGCTTGATGGATTGTCGAGGAGTTAATTACTCTCCTGCTCTTCATGATCAAAATGAGTTGGGACTTATGTCACTCAGCACAAGAGCTATTGAAGGGTCAACGTTCGGAGATGTTGTATATTTGTCTTGATAAGATCGGTATAGTGTGGTAGTATTCTGCATAACCCGTACGGATTCTGCTCATGGGTCATTTTAAGGTAGTAGTAGTGGCTCTATATACATCTCTTCTATCACTTGGACAATTGACTACTCATCGTGTACTAGTTTCGAGAAATGTTCGTCACCTCGTGAGGTTTGATACTCTGGCTTGGTGGATGATGTCTGGTAGCGATATATATAGACTGACAAGCAAAGTGCGGATTCATATTATATACTTTCCCGCGTACACCGACTCGAGCAGCCAAAACGCGACAATACCTTAGACGCGAAACACCACATCACACGCCTAAGAAGCCTAAAAATGCATCAACTACTTCATTACTAACCATATCCTAAAGCACAGCACACACCTAAAAACAGATCCTTAATCCTGATCCATAACATGACAAAGGTGAGTATATACTATCAACATGACATATCTACTACCTCGGTAGCAAAGAGTAACTTGAGTAGTAAAACAACCAAACCCAACCACCCACTCAAAATCAGCACACACAAACTTAACAGAACACAAAAGAAAAGAAACTGATAAGATCCAATCTAATCAACCCAACAACCAGCTCCATACAAATTAATAATTAAAACCCATCCTCGGCCCCTCAGGGGCCCTCAAAGCCCCAAAAGGAAGTATGTAAATTCTCCATCACGCAAAGGCAAGGCCCAGCCCGTTCTAATCGATGCCATCTCATAGGCTGTAAGCTTATCCGTCCACCACCACCACCACCTGGTACCCATTCCATCATACTAAGTAAGTACTACTAAACATCCGTTCCATCCATCCGCGTCCCGTCTCGGACGTACGGAAGCCACACACTACCACCCCCCCCTCCCCTGGCTAAGGAAAATCCTTTTCCAATTAAAGTGTTAGCCACGCGAGAAATCAAGCTCATCTTACCTTATTCTTTTCTTTTACTTACCCTTGCAGCCCTGTGGATCTGGGGTTTTTAGGCCTTCCGTGGGAGAGAGATTAGGTGTGGCACCGGTTTTGTAGTTTATTTGGACTTCCTTTTGTTACGGAGGATTACTTGTATGTATGTATGTTATGTATTGTGTATTCAATATACTTACATACATACATACTACTTACTTACAGATGTAGTTGTAGACTTGGTTCCTTGGTTGGGACCTGCGTGTGCATGAGGTGGATGTGGTGCTGTCCTGTCTGTGTATGCGTGTGTGCCTTATTTGCTGTGCTGGTTGGTTTTAGGGTAGCTTTGTTATTGGTGTTGTTGTGCGGTTGTGATGTGTCATATTGTATATATGCAGTCCACGTGTGAGGTAGGTGGGTAGGGTGGTAGGGTAATTTAATTCCCGTATCCTATGTGCCTATACTGTGGATAATTGAGGGAGGGGTTGTGCATTCTGGGGTTGAAGAGTACGGACGCATATAATTACGAGCGTATTAATGCCTTAATACATGCATACAATCATATGTTAATTGTGGGATACATGGCTCCAATGACAGTCATAGATCATATCGTTCTATTAACGACTATCTTAAGTCTAAACAGCATCAACTCCAGAACGAGTATCCCCTCTTCCACTTGCCCTGCAGTGTAAAGCTGGGCAAACCGTTTGTACCGTCAATAAAAAAAAAAGAAAACAAGCTAACAAGATAGCGTAAACAACCATATCATGCCATGCATTGAGAAGAAATGAAAAGGATTCTCATAGGAAATTAAATTAATTAGAATTCAGTGAAACGTGCCCTGTATTTTCTTTTTTTTACGCGGAACCGAACTCCTTGATGTCGGTCTTCTTGCCGAGGAGGGCAAGAGGCACAATACCACTGACGTGCATTTCAGGGCCGTAGACGTGCATGTTGAGGCCAAGCTCCTCACCAACAGCCTTGATGTTCTTAAGACCCTCCTGGTAGTTGGGACCAGCACGACGAACCCAGATCTGGACCTTGTGCTCGTTCAGGACGGGGGCAACCTCACGCAGAGCGCGGATGACACCCTTGAAGGTGGAGGCAACGTTGGTGAAGTTGGCAATACCACCACCGATGAAGAGGACCTTGCCGTCGGGGTGGATGGGAGAGCGCAGCATCAGGTCGAGGATGGTACGGGCGTAGTTGAAGGTCTGGGTCTCGGTGGGAGCACCGGAGTACTCACCGTAGTTGGCGAGCTCGCTGACGAAGCCAGCAGAGGCAATGGCATCAGCGTACACGACGGAGGCACCACCACCAGCAACGAGGGTCCAGACACGGCCGTTGGCGTTGAGGACGGTAAGCTTGAGGGAAGCACCGGTCTTAGCATCCATCTCGGAGATGAACTTCTCCTCCTTGCTCAGCTCACGACCGAAAGGAGCGGGGAACTCCATCGGGGGACCAGCGTCAATGTTGACCTTGTCGCTGGAGGGAAGGGTGGGCAGACCCAGGTTGGCGGGGCTACGAGCAATGGCCCACTTGGTACCGCACTCGAACTCAGCAGTCTGGTCGAGCTTGGCAGCCAGATCGAGGAAGTGAACATCAGCCGAGGTGGCATCAGCGTTGGGGATGACAACCAGAGGGTTGATCTCGAGGTAGGTGAACTGGCAGTCAACGTAGACGGCGTAGAGGCGGGAGATGAAGTCAACGAGGACGTTGTGGACACCCTTGGGCACCTTGCTCAGGAGAGCAGCAGCAATCTCCTCGTTGGAGGGGTACTTCTCCAGGTTGACGGGGATGAGAAGCTTCTCAGCCTTGGCGTCGACATCACCAACGTCGACACCACCCTCGTGGGTGAAAAGGATCCAGTCACCCTAACATGGTGCATTAGCATTGCTACCCCGCAGCGACGGAGGGCGCCGATCAAACGGCGGAGAATTAAAAAACAAACTTACCTCACGCACGGAGTGGATGTTGATGTAGTACTCAGTCTCCTGGGGGTGAGGAACGAAAGGCTCAACGAGGAACTGACGGAGAACGCCGGTGACCGTCTCAACCTGAACGTCCTTGGCAGCACGGGCCTCAATCCATTCCCTGGCCTCGGCCCAGGTCTTGTTCAGGGCCAGAAGGCCACTCTTTCCACGTCTCTTGATCAATTGGTCGGGCTTGGCCACGAACTTGGAACCGGGAGTCAACAGCCAGGGGTAGCGGACCTCAGCCTGGTCGAGGACATCCTTAACGGCAACATCTTCGGGGAAGTAAAGGGAGGCGAGCTTAGGAGGAGGGTTGTGCGTGGAGGACGGAGGGAGAGGAGTGGGCTTGATGACGGGAGCACGAGTGAGGTGGTAGTTGAGGATGGCCTTGCCATCAGCTTCGAGGATCGACTTGGCGGACATGATGATTGTATAGGTGAAAGAGGAGAGGTATAATTATACTAGAATAGACATGTAAGAAGCTGCAGAGCAATGGGTTTGGAGGTGGGTAGTGAACCCGGAATGGATGAGAGGTATACCTAGAGGAAGATGTATGTAGAGGGAGATAGAGAGAAAGAGGGAGAAAGGAGAAAGGAATTGGGGTCTTAATTTTTTGGAAGGTCTGGAAGAAATCACCAACCAAAAGGAGGGAGCAAGAATAAAATGGAGAGTGGAAGTAAAGAGTAAGAGGGGGAGGATGGGAGGAGGGAGGACGAAGAGGAAAAGAAGAAACAAAGCGGGAAGGAAAAAAAGAACCTAAACGGAGTATTGCAAGAAAAGCGCGCCGATTAGTCGGTGATGATAAGTGACGGCCGGCGAAAGGAGGGTACTAGGAAGGAAAGAGGGAGGGGGGAGGGGGGAGGGGAGGAGAAGTTTCGACGAACAAATTTTTTGGGGTCCGAAGATGGAGTGAGGATTGGGATGGAATGATCAACTGAAGCCACAGTAAAAACCAAAAACCACCCAAAACCGCCTTGATACAGAGGATACAGAGTACGATCAGGGCCGAGCTCGGGCAATACAAGGGGCTTAGCGGGTTGCGATGCTGCAGCCAGCGGACTTTGTTGAGATTCGGTGGAGCCGCCGTAAGAAAAAGCGGGTCGGCCCAAGACCCATCCTGTCAGCCGGGATTGGCGGCGTTGGGATCCTCGGAAGCCATTCTCGTGAGTATTTGACTCGCAGTATCTGCCCTACGCTGTAGCCTCAATACTGAAGCCCCCCCTACCATCACCAGAATGGCTTGCTCTACTCTTGCGTC